ATCCTTTTTGAAGTTTAAATTCGAATAAACATCGTAGGATTTTTATTATTACAGACCTTGCCTTTATCTAAATGTATCAAAATGTACAAAATAGTATATTCCATAGAATTAATCACGTTGGCTTCTGAAATGAATTTTTATTGCTCGTTCGGTGACGTTGAGGCTAAATTATAATTAAATATTTTACACCCTGCTGTTCTCCTCTTTCCTTTTCTACTCGTAAAATGTGAATTACACAAAATCAAAGTATAAAACCTACATTTGTGAATTATAGAAAATTAATTAAATGTGAATTATACAAAATCAAAGTATAAAACCTACATTTAATAAGGGTGCGCGGCCGTATGTTAACGACAGAGAAATTAAGCATCGGATCAGATCAGTGTGTCAGGATTGAAATTTCAAGAACAGTTCAAGTATCGTTTCACTAGATACGAAAGTCGGAATACAAACGTAGGAATTACGATCGTTCGGCGAGATCGAAAATTGCGATTCAACGAAGCGGTACCACAGTGCCGCAAAAACATTGGTTGGATAATTAGGCCGTGGCTACGAGAGAACGTTTAGAAACCTTTAAAAAGACTCTTCCTCGTCGGGAAAGAACATGAAGATCCCTCGAGAAGCCTGCATTGCGGACCTTTGCATCGCACGAGACACGTTGTTACATCGTGACTTCTCCTACGACTCGGTTAGGGAATAGGGAGATCTTCGACTACGAACGAGTAAACGTTCGTTCGTTAAATTCGTTGAAACGTTCTACATTATTTGCAGTGATACACCGTTTGGTAGGAAGTCAACACACAGAGAATATTTTTGAAGTTACTTGGATCAAATTGGCCACTGGTATTAAAATATAAACGAAATATGTAAATATATAAAACGAAATGTACCGAAGATGCTTAAATATTTAAAATGCATGTAATTTCATCGTTTGCAGTAATTTATTATTTTAACAATTTATACATGAACACGAATCAAGTTCGATAATCTATTTACACTGAGATTTATCATTATTTTTTTTTAATATCAAAATACAACATACTCAAAGAGACATCCTATTTCCAGCCGATTAAAAAAATAATCATTGTGTATCTCCTTCCAGAAATTCAACAGCAAGCGATAAACATAACATTCTTCAATATCTTGACAAATTATTCTTTTATTATTTTCGTAGAACAATTCTCTGGAATTTTCAAATATCGCTTGAGCATTTCTTCAACAACTATGCAGAACTGGAGCTATCGTATGTAACTATGAATTTGAAACAAAGGGCTGACTAGCACCGTTCATCCCCTACTCACTATTCACAAGGTAGGCACGTGCATTATATCGTGTAGTAGTATATTTATTGCCAGAGAAGGGAAGAACGTAAATTAGAAACGTGCTCCCTCCCTTGCTTAATTATGTCAATGATCGCATTGACAAAATTTCAATGATAATTATTCAAGTACTCGACACGAAAAACACGGTCGTTATCCATCAGGAATATAACTTTAGACAATGCCGCAAGTCTCTTTTCTAAATCCAATTAGCTGGAAAATTATCGTTAATTATTATAATCGAGATTTTATACTGTCCATGTTATACTAAAGAATATATATAATGATGTCTATAAATAATAAATAATTAAAAGAAATATAAAAAAAATATATAATAACTTTTCTCGTCATTAATAAATAATGAAAAAACATAGGATAACATTTACTGTCCTATAACAATTAAAAGGAGAGAAAAATAATAATAAGATAATAAAAAATTAATTTTAATAAACAAATGGAGCGAAAGAGAAAGCTTTTTTTCGCGTAAAGCTCATAAAAATTGTATATTGTAAAAGAAATGATTTAATATACAACGTTGAGGATTAAAAATAAATTCTTTTCTAAATTTCAGTTAAGATTTTTCCAGGGAAAAATGTTCAAAGATACGATGATTACAGTACAGAACTACATGTTACTACAGATTAATATATTAATATATTATTAATATATTAATATAATATAATATTAATATAATAATATAATATAATATTAATATAATATAACGTATGACTGAAGACAAGACAAAATCCGTACTTGCAACGATATTTATTCTTTACTAAATATTTATTCCTGCTAAATAATAAATGCATACGAAATAATTATGTAAGATTTTATGTAATGACGTATTAAGTATTTAAGAATTTTTCTACAAAATTCTTAAACTGTATATGCAGTATTGTAACTATTCAAATGATATCTAATTTTTGAATAATGGAGTCACAGATGACCATAATAATTTGTATTAGGTATAGCATGCATTACAAAAATTTAAGATGTTTAGATTTTATCTTGTATTTTATATTCTCTCTGATAATTAATCTAAACGAAAACTAAATTAAACTAAAATCCAAAACTAAAAACAGTGCAAGGCCTCAATATTTATGGCTCCCAATATCATTATACCAGCTAGAGGTTGATGATTTCCTATAAACTTGTACTATTCAATTTTTATTGTAACTTTTAATATTTCTTAGTTTTATCTTTAAAAGTATCCTTATCTTTTACAAATTACAATATTAACGTGTCGTTTAATCTCACGGTTTTCTTCTCAATCTCTCAAGTAAGAATTACTTACTGCAATTGTAAGATTATTTTAAATACAAAATATCGGGTGCGTAAGTTCGTAATTTGCACTTGTCAATTTAAAGAGACTAAACTTGAAACTCGAATTGAAATTTCATGGAATTACAATATGCTCTTTCTTTCATATCAAAGCTATAACGAGCGCGACTCGATGTTACAAGACAAGGGATCAAACGATCCTTTCGTTTACAAGCCTGATGAAGTATCGAAAAAAATTCTTGTTCCTATATCATGTCGTCGTATGTGATATCGATGGTGTCTTAAAATAGTTAAAATACTCAAATAATCCATAAATCGATAATGCAGACAGCGATGTATCAACTTATCAGAACTCAACGTTGCTACTCGAATTTTGCGTACGTACGCTGATACGCGGTGAATTTTTATTATGTTATCGCGACCATCTCCAATTCAGTTATTCACTTGCGATTTGGTTGCCATACTGACAATTTGCGTGTTGTCGACGCGAAGTCAGAGAACTGAAATTCGTGCTCTTCATCGATCTCTTCATCTTGCAATCATACCGAACCAGCGATACAAATATAACGCGTCTAAACTTAACAAGAAGCGGTTAAATGTCATGAAGGTAACCGTCTTGGTAACGCGACTATTTCGAGCAACGAAATTTTATTAACCATTTCAATTTTACGTTACGCGACACGGTGTTGTTACGCAATGAAAAATCAAACAAACTCTAACCTGCAAGAACTCTCTTCTCCTTTCTTAAATCAAAATTACTTCTTCTTGGACAGATCGAACTAAACGCGAGGATATTTTATTCCAATTATAATCTACTCTGAAGATGACTTGAAATTCTATGAATTCAAAGCCTATGATAGTATGTTGCTCCTAGAATTACAAGAATTCAATTGTATTTAACAGGTACGATTAATCACGTACAACGAGAGTATAATAATTGTAAACAAAATAAGCATCAGCTGATCAGCTGATCGTGTTACCATAACCGCAATGGCCGCTATTGATCTCAGCGAGCAAGCCCTTTCGCACGCGCGTGCTGCGTTAAGACCCCTTCTACCCATCTCTACGCACGCGACTAAATCGCGATTAAACGTCTTCCACCCGGTGTTCGTCGACGGGTAAGAACATTCCTGGCGCTCATGGTACTTACCGGAAGTCGACCTGGTAAGCTGGAGCGAATGCTAAAAAACTGCGACGCACTCCATAGTACGCGCGGGAAACAACGACTTAACGAACTGAATTGACCGAAAGAAAAAAAAAAAGACAGGTTGTAATAGCACACGAGAAGTAAGCAAGCACGCCTGAAGGAAAATGATCGGCAATCGAAAACAGGTGGAAACGAGTGACACGGACTGCTAGCGGACGAAAGGAGGACACACGCTGGAGCTTGACACTGGAATACAAAAACGCGATATTTCGAGAAGCGATCAAAGAAAGTATAACGCGACAGGGAGAGCGATATGTGTTTTGACCGTGTCTCAAGTCCAGGGTGAATTGCGATTAGTTGCGCATGTGTATCGACGCAACCCTTCTTTCGCGACTTTCATTGGTCGCTTTAAGAGGCAGGGACGACGCAATCCAGGGTGCCAAAGTAGGAAAAAATCGGAAGAAATGCAAATGCCATTATAAACTGTACGCATTTCTGTTCTCTTCTTTTTTCTCTCTCTCTTTTTTTTTTAATTCTTTACGTCCAAGCTTATTCATTTTAAGCGATACAAATAATTTGATTTAAATATTCTTCTTGTTCACGCTGGGAAAGAATCTTAAATACAAGGAATTAGATTACATAATAACATATAATACTTCTATGTTTTATACTAATGTCCAAAATAATAGGATTATATTTTAAAATGCACAACTTCAATTTTTGCCAGATATTATCGATGAGATATAATAGATATTATCAGTTGATATAATTGTTTCTAGGTATATAAACATACGGCTAATATTTGAAATAGCAGAACATTATGACTGCATCTACATGTATAAATTAATTGTTTATTCTAATTTTCATAGTATCTTGTCTCGTGTGAGATTAACAAGAGATAAACATAAGTTTTTAAACATTATAAAATTCACTAAATGTATTATTAAATAATACGATAACAAGCCACATAACGCCATTCTATTATTATTTATGTATCTTTTTGTTATTAATATATAAAAGTTTTATAAATTTTTAGAAACAACTTTTTAAGACTTTATTAATATTAAAGATCACGTTTTTATGACTATAAATAATAGTAAAGTTTATATCTATTTATATAGAGTTCTAATTTTTGTAACTTGAAGTTCGATTACTAACCTAAAATACTGATCAAATAACAAAGGAATTCAGTGAATTTATTAAATTAATAAAGAACGTTACAGCTTCTAGAAATTAATAATATAATTAATGTATTTTTCATTTATCAATATAAAACGATAGAGTTACATATTAATTTAAGTAGTGATAAGAAATATTTATACTAGCGTCATCTATCATATTACCGCTGTATTATGGTAAATAAATGTGTTAAACCTATGGACATAATATAAAAACAATGCGAAAAACTAGCGATTTTAATTAATTAAAAAGTGGAATTAAAATGTCAGACGAATCAGAATATGATGTCGAACCAGAGGAATTTGATATTTATAAACGAAAATATCAATTACTACTAGATAGGTGTGAAGTTTTACAACAGGTTTATGTTTGATTTTAATATTCGGTATATTGCACAGCGATTTAGTTGTGTAGGAAATGAAAATCCATTCTTTTTAATTATAGGAAAACGAGAGATTAGTTTATCGTATCCAACATGTTAGAAAACTTCTAAAACGTACAAGAAAGGAAAAAAAGTTAGTTCAATTTCTAGGTTATATATTGAATGCTACTACAAATGCATTTGTAATCTGTTTCTCAAATAATAATAAATAGTTCACCTGATTCATGTTATATTTTAGATTTTTAATTGATCGTTTGGATCAACATGGTGATCGCTGGCGAGAAGCACCTATGGGAGTTCTTGAAGAAAATAATGTATTTCAAATAACACCGAAACCAGAGAAAGGACCAAAAGCCACTGCTCATAATTCTAAAGAAGAGAAAACTAAAAAAGGGACAAAACGAAAAGGTGCAAAAACAGATCCAAATGCTCCAAAAAGACCAGCAAACCCATTCTTTCAATTCTGTCAAGAGCAAAGACCCCGGGTTATGGAACGATTAGCTGGAGAACCAGAACCAAGCAAGCAAGAGCTCACCAGACAACTTGCAACTACTTGGAAATCTCTTAGTTCAGAAGACAAAAAAGTTTGTATTGGTGAACAAGTTATATATGTTTTTCTAGTATATGAATTAAAATATTCACGGCATATTTTTCTTCAGGTATATTATGACATGTATGAACGATCCAAAGAAAAATATGTTGCCGAAATGCAAATTTATAATAAAAAATCGGAAGATGCGCCAAATCACATGTCTTTAAATATAACGTAGTACTTGTATTTAAGATAAATGATATTTATAAATACTTAATTTATAATCGTATATTTGCACATATGTCAATATTTATGTATAGAAAACTGGAGTAAAATTTTATAAATAAAATGAATAAAAATTGTTTAGGAAGAACATTGTATGTTGATTAAAAGAAGCATACAACTATCACTGATTTTTTTTGTAACAGTAATAAATTTATGCTTTAAAGTTATCCTTCTCCCTTCTAAGGAATGCCATAGTTTGAATTGGATCTTTTTGTTCAGTGTGATCCATCACGGATTGTTCGTGAACTCGCATAAATGGATTTGTTAATTTCTCTTCCTGAATAGTACTTGGTACAGTAGGATTATTCTTTTCGCGTTGTATACGAACCCATTCTATTTTTTGACGAATTGCTTCATTTTCTGGCTCCACATGTTTCCCAAATTTTAAATTATTTCCTGTGTACTCATGACCACAGTATACTTTCTATAAAATGTATATTCTTTTCACTTTTGGGGACCATTTTATCTAGCTACAATTATGTACTTACTGTTTCATTAGGTAGTGATCCCAAAATTTCTACAAGTGCTTTATACATTTGCTCTGCAGTACCTTCAAAGAATCTGCCACAACCACCAGCAAAAAGTGTATCACCTGTATATTAATATTTATTATCTTCCAAACAATTTACAAATGGGTAAATACGTAACTTATATTTGTACCTGTAAACACTGCTGGAGAATCTTGATCTCCTGTGATATAATAACAGATGTGACCACTGGTATGACATGGTGTTGCTAGACATTGAACTTGTAATCTTCCAATGTTGAAAGTATCATTGTGCTTTACTTTACATGTAAGTGCCTCTATTCTATCATCTCCGCCATACACTTGAAGATTATTAAATTTCTTACACAAATTTGCATTTCCTCCAGCATGATCCCAATGGTGATGAGTAGTTAGAACTTTTGTTAAGCATACGTTATTTTGTTGAACTGCACATGCAACACTCTCAGGATCTACAGGATCCACAATCGCAGCCTCCTGCGATGCTTCATCAATAATCTGGAAAAGTTACAAAATTTAATTCAATTAGAGTTAAATGAATGTTTTAAAAAACATAAACTAAAGAATGAAAATTTAATAATTGAAGATGAAGAAAGTATAGAAATACTTACTAGATACATGTAATTATCTTGGAGTGCAGGTAATATTTGGACCTTCATATTGTCTTGTTTTATTATTGCAGAATTACAATGTTTTGCATAAAAACCATTCGTTGAAATACTTTTGGCTAAAAAGAAGAAAAGAAATCCTTACTGTTAAACAGACAGCTGAATAAAATAATTATTTATATCCAAAAGTTTAACTTATATAATAAAACATATGTGTGCTATATTACTTATAATCTTTATCATATAAAACTTAAGCCACCATTAATTTCTTCCTTATCTTTATTACATGTGCAATATCACTGATATACATCTTAGATTAAATAAAACAACAAAATCTGTATTCAGAATTCTAAATTAAATTTTACCGATATACAGTGTATAATATTTAATATTTAACAATGTTTAATGTTTAATAATAAATAAAGAATGATATTTATATAAATATTGCAAAATATTTGTAAAACAGTCCTACAGTAAAATAAATAAAACAATATATAAACAATTTTAACACTCGAATATTGTATATTCAGATATTTAGAAATACGAGTTATTATTTAATTATAACCTTCAATTATACTTCATGAAAAATATTTTCACGTTAAAAAACAACCTAATTTTGTATCAAAGCGTAATATTTATAAAAATCAAATTTTCTTAAGAGAAAAACAATTTTAAGGAAAGTTAAAAAATTTAATGTTATCGAAACCTCAATAAAAGTGATAAAATGGAGATATGTATAAATTTTAATATTCGTTAAAAACATAGATAAGAAAAAGAAATACCCTTAAAGTACAAAGATATAAATGTATTTTCGAGCCAAGTGGGACAAACACGATGCATTGCATTAAAAATATTTTCTATTACATTCATAATAGTAAGACTGGATCAGATTTTATATGCAAAAAAACTAATTAATACCAAACACTAAGTGCGACGTTACTTGCCTAATTCCTACGCAGTACTACCAGAACAACTGGCCTCAGCTGATCAGTACGACTTGTAGAAAGCGTCGGTTGTTGATTAGTTTAGGTTAGGTTGCATGCAACGTTTATATGAACTAGGTGTACATTCTATACATAATTTAAGTAAACAACATTTATATTTATTTATTAAGAAAATATAAAGAAATATTTTTTACTATTATTGTATGTAGATATCTTCTTTATTTACAATGTCTGCGTGCAACTCAGATGAAATTATAATTATAGATAATGAAAATAAAGGTTTGTTCTTCCTCTGTAATATTAGAAATAATATTTTTCAAAAACAAACGAATTTGAGATGTATTATTATTATTACGTTTATTTACATCAATCTATTTGTATGTATCCATTCTTTATTACGTTTACATTTCATGTTTCTAAAATTATTTGTTATTATTATTTCTTTTTCAGATATTGAAGAAGATGAAATTATCGCTATTGATTATGAATTAAAACAGATCGAAAATGAAATGCAAAAGCTCGAGGATCGTAAAAAGATTTTAACTCAACGTAAAGAAAAATTGAAAGATGACGCGCTTCTGAAGAAGAGTCTCTCTATTTCAAAAAAAAATTGGAATAAAGAAGATTTCAGTTGGTCGAAAGATCTGAAGAAAGCCTTAAAGGATGTTTTTAAAATAGATAAATTAAGAGAATTACAACTGCCAACTATAAATTCAGTTATGTCAAATGAGGATGTTATTTTAATTATGCCTACAGGTGGTGGTAAAAGTTTGTGTTATCAATTACCTGCTGTTATTAGCAAAGGTATTACAATAGTTGTGTCGCCATTACTATCGCTAATGGAAGATCAATTATATGGTTTACAAAAACATAATGTAAAAGCTAGAATGTTAAGCGCCAAATGTGATAAAGAAAATGTGAAAATTATAATGAATGCATTGATTGATAAGAAATCTGATCTTAAATTAATTTATGTTACACCAGAGTACATGGCAAAATCTAATCGTTTTATGAATAAATTGCAGAAAGCCTTTGAAATGAAACGTTTAGACCGCTTTGCAATAGACGAAGTGCATTGTTGCAGTCAATGGGGTCATGATTTTAGGCCTGATTATAAATTTTTAGGAATCTTAAAGTCCATGTTCCCAGGTGTACCAATCCTAGGTTTAACAGCTACTGCACCAGCCAAAATTATCGTGGATGTTCAAAAGATGTTAGATATCCAGGGTTGTTTAGTTCTAAGAGCTACTTTCAACAGACCAAATCTATATTATGAAGTACGGCGAAAACCAACTGATAAAGATACATGCCTAGCCATGATAGAAAATTTGCTGAAAAATAGATTCAAGGATAAGTCTGGAATAATTTATACAACTACCATCAAAGATGCAGAACAATTGACAACTGATTTAAGAGCACTGGGCTTAAAAGTTGGATGTTATCATGCAATGTTAGAGGCAGACTATAGATCAGAAGTATATTCCAAGTGGATATCAGGAAAATACCAAGCTGTAGTTGCTACTATTGCTTTTGGACTAGGCATAGACAAAGCAGATGTAAGATTTGTCATTCATCACTGCATTTCAAAATCAATGGAAAACTTTTATCAAGAAAGTGGACGTGCAGGCAGAGATGGGAAGAAATCTGTGTCTATAGTATTATACAGACTATTGGATATATTTAAATTAAGTACAATGGTGTTTCAAGATAAAGTTGGTTTACAAAATTTGTACAAAATGCTAGCGTATTGTTTAGATCAAACATCGTGTAGACGTAGCTTGATTGCAACTCACTTCGAAGAAGTTTGGACTAGAACTGATTGCGCAGAAATGTGCGATCATTGTCGAAAACCTAAAGAGAGTAAACAAGTGAATATAGCTCCTTATTGTAGACAGTTATATCAGATCATGACAAAAGCGGTACAAAGTGAAACCAGATTAACCGCCTTAAAGCTTATAGATGCCTGGTATGGTAAGGGTGCATCAACTTTGAGGGTATCTTCTATACCAGTTCCAAAATTTACAAGAGAATCAGGAGAAAGTGTAATAGGACATTTACTTGTAAATGGTTATTTACAAGAAGATTTTCACTTCTCTGCATATTCTACAATTTCATATTTAAAACGTGGACCTAAATCAGCATTAGCGTTAGACAATAATCATGAAATACTTTTTAACTATGAATTACATTAATTTATATACATCTATTATCTGTGATATAGATATTAAGTTCTTCATTAATGAAGAAACATACATCATTAAATAAATATAAATATTTCGAATTTTTAAATGTTCCTAATCATCAGTAATATATTCTACATGTTGTTTATTTATCACGATTCATTGTTGATGCTAGTTTGTAATATTTATGTCTTATTTTAAAATGATTGTGCTCTACAATCGTACGTCATACGTTTTTTTATATCTGATATCAAATGTTTTTTTTTTATTGGTATTTGTAGAAAAAATGTTTTAGAAAGGTAATAAAAATTATCTTTGACACATAAATGTACCATTTTACTTCTAAATACCTTCAGATAATTTAACAAAACAAATTACAAAATTATTTGACGCATATTATAAAGTATACTTTAAACAAACTTTAATAAGTTTGAGAAGAAAGACTGCTCGTAAAAGTATCTTCCGAACGAGATTATAAGAAGGCAAGCTCGTTTCATGAAAATCGAGAGCAAATAATTCAAACTTAACTTGAGGAGAAAAATCAATAAAAACCATATGTACAACGCTAGACAACGTTATGTCGGCGGCTTGGATAGTAAGCCAACCACCAGGTTCACGATCAGATGGAAATATTGATTCTGGATAAGAGGCATCTGTGTTCTGTCTGTTGGCAAACACGTTTTACTACAGTACTGAGCAGCAGGTTGACGTTAGATTCATAATTCGTTTATTCGTTAGAAATCGAGCAACGAAATAAATAATGAACGTCGTGCAAATAGCGATTCATTGCAAGTGATTCTAACAAACGTTTCGCGTTTCAGAAAGTGACCAACGCGTTTTCATTCAAAGTTCGATTACACACAACGAGTAGTGCCGATGATACATCTTTCATTCATGAATCCATTCAAGTGAAAGTTAAGTCGATTAACTTCGTTTTTCGTAAGAATTTCAAACACAATGAAGTCCTGACGATTTCTGGTCTTTGGAGAAGAGAATTTTGACGACGTGTTATCCTCGTAAATAAAAAGAAACAGAAAACAGAGAAAAAGAAAAGAAACAGGTAAAGACGAGAGAGATTTAAGTAATTGAGATGCATGCTTCTCCATATGTGTACACGTTTTATCGGCTCTATGCGTATATCAAAGCTAATTGACGTGATAACATGCACGCAACGAGCGTACGATAACGTTACGTTCAGGAAGAGGAATCAGTTCATTATAGCATTCCGATGCAGGTCTATTCGCGCGCTTCTGCGCGACGAAGTTCGACCTCCGAGCAGTTCTGCTGCACTCTAGAAACATCAAACTCGGCATGATGTTCGACGTTGAGAGTTGCCAGGAAAAGGAACAGTGAAATCGGAACTTTTTACCTTTTACGTGAATATCGTGTTTCCTAGTGTAAAGGACAGGATTGTATTCGTTGCAATCGATCTGTTTTCTGGCAACGCGTTATACCCTCGTGATCACGCTTCGACGATTGTCATTTGGGTCTTGCCGTGATCGTCCCCCGACGATCCGACCGCTCTCCTAGACGAGAAGTTTGATCGCGCGAACACGGTGAAATTGTCGCGGCACGTTCTAACAAAATTAAACTAGATGATTTGCATGCATGCGCCGGCCTGCCTTGAGCGAAGATGCCTCTGCCAAATATCCTGAAAAAGGCAAGCAGTTACATTTTAGGCGATTGTAATCAGGACAGTCGCCGTACTATGTACCAGGATGGTGAGGCGTTGTTTTGCAAGAACAACGTGTGCGTTCACCCGCCGACATTGATGCGACAGAACACCGACGTGGTGCATCATCCCGGTTACATGGCCATAACCTGTAGGTTCAATAAGAATTCGAATGTACCAACGTTACACCTCAGTTGGATACCGAACAGCACGCTCCGTAAACACCCGACCACGTTGGAGAACTTGAGCGCGAGAAAGCCCGACTGCGCTTCCCATCGGGACGTCGATATAAGCTCCCACCATTCCCAAATATCGGAGGAGAGCTGCGACCTGAAATGCGAATACGAGAATACCAGCGAGAAGGTGGACGTCTGTTTAGAGGTAAAGGAACCGGTCAATTGCGGGGACTGCGAGCGTGTTTGCTCTGGCGGTGGTTTTCCGCGAGGTGGACGTCTCGAGAATGATAACACGAGAAACAATGACGGGGAGAACGTGTGCGATCATCGAACTGTGCCCACGTCAGAGACCAAGGATACACCGAGCATCAACATCAATCGACAAACGAACTATCACCGGTCGGATGGTTCATCGACCACGATACACGAGGAAAGTGACCACAGCATCAATTTGAATCAACTGCGTTCCCAGTCTCTGGCTTCGAAGCACAACGAGAATCAACACGGCAAAGATCAAAAACTCTCGGAATCGCACGAAAACGATGGGATCGCTGTCGACGAGGAATTGAAATACCCTTACTGCGATGACGCCAGCCTGAAGAGCCGTAGCATGTCATTAACCTCCACGTGTAGCTTGTCTGTCGGTGTGTCCTCGGAAGGTATTCGATTGATTGATTTGACGATCGGTGAAATTGTAAGAAAGCTACTTCCTTCTTCAATTTTCGGATCTAATGTGTTGTGGACATCATTTTGAACAATTTTCTCCTTTGTGTACAACCGCGATATTCGCAAAGAATTGTCGCTATCACTATGATGAATTCTGCCTATAATTCGTGCGTCAGTAGTATGTATAACTCAAACTTAATTCATATTTCTTTTTGTTTATGACTTACGATGCATATAAATACAAAATTGAACGAGCTTCGCTGGAACTGCGTGCTCAATTGCATATTCGAAATTGCAACAAACGTCTGTGTTATAACTCGATTAACAACGAGTATCATCAATGAGTATCATCAATATTGGGCTTGGGCTTTAATGCAACGTTTGCGTGAAATAGTTATTTTCCGAATAAATTCAACAGAATGTCAGATGTCATTTTCTGTTTTCTAATGTAAGAAACGTGCAGCTGTAAACAAGATAAATTATTTGTTTACATCCGTATAATGCAAAGATAAAGAGCGACGACTGATGTGCTTATGAATGATGCACAGATGCACACATATGGACAGAATTCAATGCCTGGTACTGGCTAGTTTTTTTGCCAATATCTCGGAAACCAGGTTCAATCGCTGGTTACATGCAAAGGGAAAAGTTGTTCGAAATGTCGATGTCTGCAACATATCCAAAAATGATCGAAATCGGGGAGAAAATAGTTTTTTTGGCAACTTCACCTGATAATCTTTTATTAATAAACTTATTATCAAATTGACTTTTTTTTTTTTCGTAGCTGAAGAAATTCCATCATGGATGAGATCACCTGAACTTCTAGCTTTACAGCATAATCTGACATTTCCTGAAAGTGCAACAGCCTCACCAGTGACATTGCGCAGAGCACACAGGTGTAGAAGATTTTCCGTAGATCTCAGTGAAATGAGATCCCTAAGATTGTTTTTTGCTGATCCAGCTTGTACTTCTGGTCAACTTGTTGTTGCAAGTCGAGAGAGCCAATATAAGATTCTGCATTTCCACCATGGTGGATTAGATCGATTGGCAGCAACTTTACATCAGTGGCATCAATTGCTTTATCCTCGCTTAGATACAGATGCCGAGGAGACACTTCCGTACAGGTAGTATCTAATTAATGAAAAAAGAATTAGTATTTTATCAAAGACTTATAACTTTTCTGTGATTCAGGCATTTCATGGTGTGTAGACCAGAGGTAAGTCGCGATGAACTGCACCCAGAAGAGGGACAAGTACCAATGATTACATCTCTAGCCTGGAAGGATTTGTTAAATGAGAGAGGTCAGGTAGAGGATGATCTCGCTCTTCGTAAAGGAATATTTTTTGGTGGACTGGAACCTGCATTAAGAAAAATTGTTTGGCCTTTCCTTCTTCATTGTTATTCATACCAAAGTACCTATGAAGATAGAGAACAAATTGATGCCATTCGTAGACAGGAGTATGAAGAAATACAAAAACGTAGACTTAGTATGGGCCCGGAACAAGCAGAACATTTTTGGAGGAATGTGGTGTGTATCGTAGAAAAAGATGTAGTTCGTACTGACAGAGGAAACCCATATTATGCTGGGGAGGATAATCCAAATATTGAAATAATGAAGTATGTTTCTATAATAATAATTACTTAATTTTTAAGTTTATTATTAATATTATAATATCGCATTTTATCTTCTTTCAGAAATATTCTATTAAACTATGCAGTTTATAATTCTCGATTAGGATATACTCAAGGTATGTCTGATTTATTGGCTCCTTTATTGGCTGAACTTAATTCCGAAATCGAAGCATTCTGGTGCTTTGCTGGCTTAATGCAAAGATCTGTTGCCGTGTGTACGCCTACTGATGTAGATATGGACAGAAATTTGTGTTACTTAAGGGAATTAGTTAGAATAATGGTGCCAGATTTTTATGCACATCTTCAAAAACATACAGATGCCTTGGAACTTCTATTTTGTCATAGATGGATACTATTGTAAATACAAAGTTTTATAAGCATTTTAAAAGTTTATAATTGTATGTAGAATTATTTCTAGTAATATATATATATATATATACATTTTTTACAGATGTTTAAAACGTGAATTTCCTACTGAAGTAGCGTTAATAATGTGGGAAGCTTGTTGGGTAAATTATTTAACCGACCATTTTCATCTCTTTCTTTGCCTTGCCATAATGTGTGTTTACGCGGATGATGTGATAGCTCAAGATCTGAGAACGGATGAAATGCTATTGCATTTTAGTTCTTTAGCTATGTATATGGATGGAAATCTTATATTAAGAAAGGCAAGAGGCCTACTTCATCATTTTCGTCAGCTGGTACGTTTACCGTGCACATTAGCAGGACTCTGTCGACAATGCGGTCCAGGAATGTGGGATAGCACTCATGACCCCGTCATAGAATGTGTGGATCATAACGATGCACCTTGTCCATATTTGAATAATTATGAATAACGACCTAATTGAATGAAAATGAGAAAAGTATCCTATTGTTAAAGCTTTCAAATTTCTACGTTAACTAATCAAATTAAATGCTGCTCTGATGTAACATAAATAAGTTACATAAATCGCAGTTGATTAAATGTTGTGTGTAATAACAGATGTTAATGAAAGTAATATTTGACTCGCATATTGTTTGTACGAAGAAATTCTTAATCAATTTAATATCATGAACAAAAGTATATAGGTTTATATTATTAGGAATTTTATTTACGCAACTTTATAATTAATAAATGCTGACTCAAAAAAATATGGCAAATTAAGTTTGGTAATCAATAAGAAATGAAGGACATATCTTAAAATTTAACATTTATCGAAATTGAGTTCAATTTAAAATAGCTACAAAAGATTTTAATGGTAACATATCTACAACATCTGTAAAACAAAAATATTCTATATTAAATAATTAGATAGGTCTTCAAAAATTATAACGAGTTTTAGTCAAAAATCTGTAGTACAATTAAAGACTGACGACCAAAGAAGAATGGGGTATAAGTATAAGCACTTTAGTTTTAAAACCTCCAGACAAAAAGAAGCTTTTCCATTGAATAAACATCGTGCTGTTTATTTAACATATTGAAAATGTGCCATTTTTCAGCTTGGTACAAATTTCATAAGATGTGACTTGAAAATAAAGAAAATAAGAATCGAATTCGATATCAGCAAAAAAAAAATACAGAATAAAAATAAAATATAATTATCACATAAAAATTTATCATAGGTCTGTTTCAATTTCTTGGTCAATTAATGATACACATATTCACTTTGGGATATTCACTTATGCGATATTTTTAATATTTTTTGTACAAAACAAATTTTGATTTATTGTATATTATACATAATCTATTATCTTTCATTATATAATACCTTAAATTTTTGTTAAACATAACAGATCTATTGAAGTGTCTATTTGCTCAAATATTCCTTTTTCTTATTCTGATAACTCAAAGTATTTAGTCTAGTTTATTTGCTAGTCTATTTACTCACAAAAATATAAAATATAAAAGAAATGATTCATATTTCAAATTCTTTAATTTTTTTGTATAAAATAGATATGTTCCAGTGTAATGAATGTATACAAAAACAATGATTTGTATAATATCTTACAATTTAGGGAAACAAACTTTAATAGTCATAATCTATCGGGTTGTAAAGATGCAAATAAAATAATGCTTTTACTGTGCCACCTTATGTTGTTAAACTATTACAGAAAAATCTATTCGTGTTAAAATTTGTTCTGCTAAATATGATATACATGTAAGTATAAATATGAATAAATAGAAATATGTATGTACAGAATATATTAGAATACATTAGAATATATTATGTATGTACAGAATATAATTACGAATAACATTAATTATTTATTTGCTATTTGTGAATAACGAATAAATTCAGTTTATTTGTTACTTAAAATATATTTTCGCCGAACTATTTGCTGTAACTTTGCTGTTACCTTTGTCCGACATTTCTGTAAACATTCAAATGAAAAATCTTTTTTATAATATGCGATTGATGTCATTTAAACGTTAGAATGTTCAAAATCGATTAAAACATGTATAAAAGAAATTCACTTTCATAAAAATCAGTATTGCTTCAGTAGAGAGTAGTATTGAGAAACTAAGTAACATCGGTGACATAAATAAATATTTTATTATAATTTTGATAATATCAATTACTAGTATTCAAATTTTAAAACATGTACTTTTATTATATATCTTTTAAATTTAAAATATATATAATACAGCATATTAATTATCTTCATGTCGTATGCTTTAATAATATACACAATTTGATTATGAATCTTTTTAGTCGCAATTTAATCAGAAAACAGATAAAATTTATTATAAATATTGCGTGAAAATTATAAGTTGATACCTTTTTATAGTAAACGTCGCGTCCTTATCTTTGCTGCCAATGAAAAATTTTGAAAATTTGAATGTAAATGGGAATCACCTATAATTTGAGGCTTTAGAAAAATGTAATTGATCTTCATATATCCTCTACATGTTTACCTGTTAAAAAGCTAATGAAATTAAATCATATTTCCTTGATGAACTTAAACTTTTGTTTGAAAGATTTTTTCGTACAATAAGTTATTTTCGAGTAATTTGAAGTGATTAGATTTTCACTCCATATATATAAAAATAAATCAAAATAAATTTATATAATCAATTCTTTATTTTTTTGTTTACTCTTAGAAAATATATATATATTTATATATATATATATATATATTTGTATATATATTTCATGTTTTTACATATTACATTTTTGTACAGGTACACGGTATGAGAGGCATATTCTGAATACTTTGTTGGCAGTTATATATTATATACATATAAAAATATGTTCTGTGATATACAAATCAAATTTCTATAATCAACAACAATAGTCATTTAATCTGCCTAATTCTTTCTGTGCACATAAAGAATAAAGCACGCTAGAAAATTGTTAAAATAAGTTCTTTTTTTAATGAGATATACTGAATAGGCTTTCAATATTTTTAAATATCTATTTGTTGTACAAGTCTTCATATTAAGATATACCTTCATACCGTTTAAATAGTGGACAAAATATTATTAGTTGGCCACTAAATATCACTTATTTGAAAGACATTTATGTACAGTAAAAACTGTATCAAGAGACATATTCTCTACTAAATAAAAATATATAAAAGATAAACAATGTATTATACAAAAGTTTACAACTTAAATTAAGCTTATTCATTTGGCTTGTACAAGATTAATCCTGACTTGTGCCAGTGTATTGTCAGTTTACTGTGACACATTGTGTCATAATGTATTCTTATTATCATTATTAACCATATTTTCTTTCATGGAAATTGATAAAATTGATAATGGCGCCAAAGTATGAAAATAAAATGAAGGTATCTTATTATCAATGACAATTATTCAATTGTTGTACCTTCTATAATTATTCTATCACATATTTTAAATTTTAAATAATAATTATTTGCTGTTACCTTAAAGGCATTTTTTCATTTTTTCAACTTAGAGTTATTATTGAAAGTTTTATATATTCTAAATATAATTTCAATTTCAGCTTTAAAATCAGTAGTATCACAATTTTCTTTCTATATATTGCAAATAATTAATTTCAAGTCCAATGATATTATTTCAGATATGCTCTGGATTTTTTAAATCTTAAAATAATTATGAGTCATTATATAACCTTTTTCTTTTTTTTTACATTCTTGATTCAATATTTTAAGAATCTTTCATCCTAAAGGTACGCTTAAAGAATAGAAATGAATTTGTACAAAATTGACTGATACTAAAATCATGCAAGCAATAGCCCAAACTATAACAAAAATGAGCCAACAATTACTGGAAAATGGACTTGCAAATTTATTAACAACACCAAGACCTATAAGTTTATTTGTCTTTTGTCTAGCATAATATACCAAAAATGTTGGAATCAAATATTGAATTCCTGCTCCAGCATATGATCCCGTAATTCCTACCAATATCGATAAATCTTTGGTACTCATAGCAATCATATATGGAGGCAGTATTGCTAGTATTGGGAAGACAATTTTACGAAGACAAAAATAAGATGTATCTTCGTTGAGGAACAATGATTGCAAATTATTTCTAAGGGTGATAGCTATGATAGGAAAACTCGTACTCAAAGTAAATACTGGAAAGAGTGATAAGAAATATTCTATAAGAATAATAAAAATATTGTTACTTTCGGAACAATCTCCAGATCCACGAGGACTAAAATCTAAAGTGTAAAGATCGTCCAAATGTTCAAAAGCGAATGCTCCAGTTAGTGCCAGTAAGAGATAAAAAAATGCTATTAATAAATAATCCAATGCCAAAAATCGAGTTAAAGTAGACTTATTTGCAATTGGAGCGACCAACGCAGGTAAAGAATGATGACACATAAATGAATAAATGCAAGCACCAAATAAAGTAGGTATACCTGAAATACACATATATAACAACTTTATTTCAAATACTGAAAAAGTATATATATTACAATTATATGAATGAACTTACCCATGATATTTGCAGCTGGAGGATTTCCTTGTGCACCATGAATGATTAAATTTTTCAAAGCATATACAATCATGATAGTGAATGCAAGCCATCGCATTCCTGAAGTTAACAATTGAAGATATTTAGTCTTTTGTATATTAAAGAATACAAAAGGACCAAGTAATAATATAAATATACTCTGAAAAACATATTGAAAACATACTATATGAGAAAATACGTAATTGTTAAAATAAATATTGATATCTCTATGTGCATATACATACAAGAAATATCCTATATGCATCTGATCGATCCAGAGCAAATTCTTTCCAACACAGTGCAGTATCTGGTATTGTAGAGTTGCATGTAAAATTTTCTGGTTGATAAGTGCAAATGACATCAGCTAAAGTTTTTGCAACAGCTGCTCCATATATGCTTAGATCTCCATAAAGATATATAGCAAAACATAAATAGAATAGAGTTATACCAAACTTGTTAAAAAAAATTGATGCCATTTGCCCCATTTCTATTTTATCACGTATTACATAATATCGATATGTAATGTCTGCACGATCAGGGCTAGTTGAAAATGGCATAACAAGAGGGGTATCTTCAGAATCTGAATTTGAAGGACCAGATTCGCCTAATGTTTGAAGCACCTAAAATTAGGATGTAACATAAAATAAATCATATTTTAACTAAAAACGATCCCAAATATAGTTAACAAAAGAGAGATGTACAATCTATTCTATGTAAAAAAAAAAAAGAAAATATAAAATGCTACTAAAGAGAAAACTTATCATAGGGAAAGCACGAGCATAGAAAAAAATCTAAGAACCTCAGACTCTGTTTCGTTGAAAGATGAATCCTGAGAGAAACATATACGTTTTCGATGTTGAATGTGTCGCCATGCTACTATAGCATTGGCAGATGCCATTACCTCGATCACAAATGTAACAGTGATAAAACTATGAAAACAAAACAACGTGCAATTAAGTTTTAAAACTGATTGATTGAAGTATATAGGCTACATTGACATACCTTATAAATGCTAGTATTAAAATTACACTTAATCCAAGAGCCCATCCTGCTTGAGTAAAAACAGCTGGTAATGTTAAAGCTCCTGTTCCAACAATTAAATTAAAAACGTATATAAGCCCAACCTGAAACGCATATTAATAACAGAATTTTATATACGCATATAGTCTTTATAGAATGACACTAAGTAGTTCATTTGACAACCGAGAAAAGTTTTGTTTATAGTTAAAAATTATGCAACGTAGTGTGTCAAATTCGAATGTCATTACGAAATTCATAGGTTATATATAAACTTACCCACGTCGAATATTGATCACTCGAATTTTGCTCGGGCATTCTGATTCAAGTTAGAGATTCAAACGAATCAGTCTACTCGAGCCGATTTGTGTTGCTGTCATACACGTCATTGACTCAAGTATCGCTTTGTACTTTTCCAGTGATGACTCGAGAGCAACTACGCTAAGGACACGCGAAATCTCAACAAAAAGTCTCGCTCTTAATCTAACATCTATTTATTTCGAATTTAATATTCCAATGAATATTTTTGAATTAAGTATTTACTGTGCAAAAGATGCACCGATCGAAGTTTAAATTTAAATTCATATCAAGTTTATCCACTTTAACAATGTGCGCGGTGTTCGATTGTAAATCAAGTGTATTGTGCTGCCATCTAATCGCAATTTAAAGATGATCGTTAAATATGAATACATAATGCTGTTACACATTATAATTTTATGCCCTTGCAATTATCATACATGTATTGTATTCTAATATCGTTTAGCATATAAATTTTGTTTAATTAACAGACCATTAATTGACATGGCGATTTTATTAAAAAACTGATACATAATCATGAAAAACGATTAAAAAAGAATTTCATTTTACAAATAAGCAATCACTTGCTTTTCATTATCTGAAGATTGAGTCGAATTATTAAATACAATATACTAACAAAATGTCTATTAAATTTTAAGTAAGATTCGAAGACTCTAAATAATGGCATTTTTACAAGGAGTAACAGATACCACTTCATTAAAAATAATTTTTATTCGACTGAAAATATAAACCTAATTCTTAGAGTAATATAAATTTTTACCACAAATCTTACGTTACAATAATGAATAACGCCAAATAGTACAAAAGCTACGTTGTATATAAAACTACAGGAATTCATGTTAAATAAAACAAGTGATGATCAATTTCTTTCTCTTTTTTTTCAGTTCAGATTAACTACGATGTACTGGATTGGAGATCAAGGACACAATATCCAGTAGAGGGTATTGGATAACTGCAACCTTAAAAACACAAAAGTCAAAGCAATAATGTTTTTAAGAGTTTTATTTTATAATCCCATAAGTCTAAAGTAGTCTTTAAGATGTGTATGTGAATGGTCTTGCACATTACAATGGGAATAAATTATAATACTTTGGCTACGCTTGCGGGGTCGAAACCGTGTCTTTTTTAATTTTATTCGTTTGAGCGAGCGTTTGTAGGATACTTTTTCTGGGTCAGCGGTCTCCCCCATTATATTTGGAGAAAAAA